AGTCTTCTCCGCCTCCTTATCTCCATAAACAAATTTCATCGCATGCCAGGTATAGCCCCCTTGTTTTGAATCGAATCCTCTTCAGCCACTGCCATCCTTTCACACCGATCACATAACTAGGGCACCCGATCTCCAAGACTATCCGAGTCACACTTAACTAGGTCATTGGCCTTCTCAGCCTAAACTCACAGAAGAATTCCAAATAGCCCACCCTCCCACAACTTTCATTTCCTTTCTTTAAACCCTTGATCCATGTGCCCAGCATTTACCTTGCCCACCTTAACACTTCAACAACATTTCCAAAAATGCCCTCAACTTCAACCTCCTCCCCACAAACCTCCTCCTGACCCTTTCTCTTCCTCCCCAACAAAACGGAAACAGGCACACACTACTCCCATCTGATGTCACAAACTCTTCTCTTTTGATCATCTAACAAACTTGGTGGACATCAATCTTCCACCACAACTCTTAAACTGAACCACTCCCTTGCAAATTGCAACACCACTGAAGATGGGATCAGATGAATTTCATCCACTTACATTTGTGTCGTTGAAAGAATCTTCCAAGAACTTGTTCATGGGTCAATTTTTCTAAACTAGCCAATAGCCTCATCCACTGAATGGAACAACTGCAAGCACCATGCATGGAGTGGAATACCATAGACATTAATCCAAACAAGGCTAATAATTCCAATGTTTCTAACCGCTCCTACCAGTGATTTCCATTTTCCCAACCTAAGTTCAGGAGAGAGAATCTGCTCCAGCTCCCAATTAAGCATATCCTCCATCTCTTCCTTGTCACTTAGGAATTTAGAATGAAAAGGAAGAAACCAGCATTGGGTTTTCTTACTTGGATTTCACTTTTCAGGTTCCACTCTATATTCACCCACTTCGTTATGTCTTCCTCGTCTGTATCAGAGTTGACAAATCAACCTACCAAACAAGTCTCCAACAACCTTATCCTCTCCTCTAAACTCCCTACTGAATTAACAACCACCTCCATCTACCTTTGTTTTTCAGGAAACCTTGCTCATGTGGACAAATCATATCAAGTGGAACTTCAAACTGTGGAAAATTTAAGAACAGCATGAGTGAGAAAGGTTGGATGACCTTATCTTCAATTTAATCTCTCCTTCTATATGTTTGCATATTTGAGAATGTTCCACCATGCCTATATTTTTTATTTTTTATAATACTTCCATAAGACATTTCCGACATTGCTGACATGTTTCCTATATTTAGATGACCTATATGTCCACTGACACCAACATTTAAACCTTGAGATTACAGCTGCATGCCTTATATCAGGGCATTTAGAAGGAAATAATTTCAGGTATAGTGCTATTCACCTAAGAATATGATGATGGTTTCCTAAAACAGGATGAGGGTGACAATATCCAGTCAGTGTCATAAAAATGCTTTTGGGATGCTATATAGACAGGAATTCACAAAGTATACAGGTAATTAAATGTAATGAAACCTTTGGAAAGCTAACTTCAGGAAAGTACACTTGCTCCCATTTGTTGAGAAAAACAAAAATCCAGTTTAGCAGCTACTAAATGGGGAATTGAGGTCCTTCGTTTTGGGATTAATGGTGTTCAAAGGAAAATAGTAGCGAGTTTATGTTGGGGATGCTTGGCATCTTTGCATGCAATCATTCTTTTTTTTCTTTTTTGATAAGCAACATTATATTTTGTTGAAGCAAAAAGCACCATGCTGCTCAAAGAAAAAGAAAGCCAGCAGCCTATAGCCCTATACAAAGTACAACCAAGCTTTCAACAAGAAAGAAAGAAACTACTCCCAACAAGAGGAGCCAGAAATAAAATAAAAGAGCACAAAACTAATAAGTTAAAGAGTACATCCCAGCCCTGGGCAACCCCATTCCAGCTGGATTTTAACCACCCCCAACCTAGCTAGAGAGTCAGCTAGACCATTAGCACATATAGGGACTCAATTGAATGAGATGTTCAAAGAGGCAGCCAAGGAATGTGCCTGTCTCACCACCAATGGCCTGAACTTCCAAGGTATTCTGTCCTGTCTTCTCATCCAAAAAACTGGTTTGATAGTCACCCTCTACTTCAACATTTGTCATTTCTTTCAAGCAACCTAGTGTGCTACTCTTACTGTAATACTCTCCAAAATTGCCTCCTTATTTCATTCTCTTTCCTCAAATATTCTTAAATTCCTCTCCTCCCATACTATCCACACAACTGCTGTCCTTGCACACTTCCACAAGATTCTGCCCGTCCTCTTTGTTCTTTTTTTTTTTTTGAAAAAGGATAAGGTAAAATTTTATTCAAATGGCCACAAGTGGCAGATTACAACCAAGGCCCCTAAGACAAGGAGCCGAAAACTCACTTTAACAACTACAAAACATCATAACTCAAGAAAAATCCTAGATCTCAGCTGAGAACAGAGGACTGAAGCCAGCAACCAATTAGGAAAGATGGGCTAAAGAGCCTTTCCAAACTCACAGGAGAGACCCACCAGCAACCAAAAAGAGAGCAAAACCATTGTCAAACACAACAAACAAAGGGACAGGAGATTAAGAGGTGGAAAGCACTCTCACCATTCAACTTACATAAAATGCACCAATTAGGAGACAAACTCCAATTTGGCCTTTTCTTTTGCGGCAAGTCATTTGTGTTGATGCATGCATGGTAAATTCCCAACAGAATGCACTGACTTTTGGGGGAATAGGAGCACACCAAATTTCTTTCACAGGAAAGGAAGGGGGAGAAGAAGTGGCCACAAGGGAAGAAAAAAAGGATTTGCAAGTGAACAACCCAGAAGGATTGAGGGACCAAACCCACCTATCATCCACTGACTCATCAAAAACCACACCATCCAAAATATTCAAAAGGTTAGATGCTGAAGAGACGTCAAACTCTCTATAACCATTTCCCTAGAAAGACTGAATTCCTATCCCTCAACCTTCCCGAACCTAGGCCCTCTTCTATTTTTTCGTTGCAAAAAGATCTCCAGTCTAAAAGTGATCTCTCTTTGAGTCTCCTGGCCCCAAAAAATATCTCTCATGACCTCCACTCTTTTAGCCACTACAACCAACATACCAAACACAGAAAGGAAGTATACTGGTAGGTGCCCTTGTGTTCAAACATGAATTTAGTTCAGATGATTCCCAAGGCCTGGTTGCCAATGGTAGGCTTTTCAGTAAAGAGTTTCTCTAAGGGGTCTCTTTGCCAAAGAAAATCATCTATCTTGTGCATTTTGTGTCAGTATATTTTTATCCATTGACTATGGATTAGCTAGGTAACCCCTATTTTTCTGTTGTAAGGAATGAAGGCTCTTCTATCTTCTTATTTCCCTCTTTCAATAATTTCTCCTTCAGTTACCAGTAGAAGAAAGAAAAGAAATGATTTGTGACACAAAAGAAAAGTAAGGCTTTCCTTTAGCAGACAGACACATTTAGATTTATGATCCAAAAGACAAATTGATGCAAGCAGAATGCCAGAATATAAAGGGGGGCTACTATATAAAGTCCGACAGAATAACAAAAAGCATCAGTAATTTCTATTTATACAATAAAACATGGTAAAAAAAACAAGTAATGGAATAGCTCCTTGAATTTCTTTTGGATAGCCAACCAGGAAAGGACTGCCCACATGGCCATTCATAAAGCAGCAGTATCCTGAGAAGATAGTCTATTCTGGAAAATTTTTGCATTTGAGTGAAGAAGAGTTAGGTGCAGAAGTGTTTAAAGAAATGGAAGAAGGCAGTGAAACTGTCGAAGGGTCAACTAATGATGGCAACACATTGGTTGATTGTGGAAGAAATTTTGGCAATAAGAAGCCTGTGGTTCCCAGTGAAATATGTTTTGTGGGTGATAACAAAAGGATGAGAAGGTCAGCCAGCAACAACAAGGCTTGTGCTAAGGAGAGAAGAGATGTGGTTGTCCATATCATGGTATGAGCAAGGAGAGTTTGGTTGTTGATCCAAGGTTTTTGTAGATAGGCTAATGATTCTAAAAGGATACCAGACAAAGGGTGGTAATCTTAGTATTAAAAGTGCAGTGATGGTGGAGTGGAAGGAAGGTAAAGGTAGATAATAGGCACTGATCTCTTTTTCCTATTGAGGTTGATGATTTGGAAGATGTTTTAGTTGAAAACTTTGTAAAAGAGAAGGTTAGTGGAAACCATTCATCAATGGCTTACTGTCGAATTATTGCCAGAGGAAGGGGATTGAACTGAACCAGAGTAAAAGTGGCAATCAAGAGAAGATAGTAGAAGATGAAAAACAAAAAGACAGTGGACTACTGAGTACATAAGGGGGATTGAGAAGAATAACATTCAAAGGGGAATAATTTGGGTGGAGAGAAGGGTCAAGGTTGTTGAAGGGGAGAGTGGAAAAGGCAGATGAAGTTTTTCAAACTGTTGGAGCTTGGTTTTGATTAGAAAATTTTGGGTGGTATGAAAAGAAGTATCTGCATGGATTTTAGCTAGAGGGTTGTTTACCGATGTTTATGGTTCAGTTTTTCTTTTTGGTCATGTCTATCACCAATTCTTGTACTTTCTTCCTTTTTATTTTATGAAGTGTTCTTTTTACTATCAAAAAACAAAAGATTTTGCATTTCTTTTTGTTAACTTAAGCTGGCATAATTCTTTTATGTTTAGTTGTCTAAGCTAGATATGGTATCTTAATATTTATATCTTGTCCAATTTAACTAAGCTCTAACATCTTCAGATTTTTAATAGTATGATTTGTTAAAATCTACCATTAACATATTTTAGAAGTTTTTCATGCTAAAAGGTATAAATTAAATGTTTCCATGCATCCATGCAGTATCCAGTGCCATATCAGAAATCTATGGTGTCCAATATTGATACTCCATGCACTAAGCATGTATATGTATCATAGCTTTCAATCTTTCATAAATGTTGATTTCATCAAGTATAGTTTTTGCATAGGATACATGTTATCAGAGAAAACCCTTCATGTTTGCTGTTTTATTTATCTAAGAACAAGAAGATTAAACCGTAGTACCTGGTGATGTGTCCTGAGCAGTATCTTACAGTTGGCATGAATTTCTTGAACATGAGCAAGTGCTTTGAAGAAGTTTTCATCTAGGTCTTCTTCCCTCAGTGCATTAATCTGCAATGTAGAAACAAAAAAAAAAAAAAAAATTCTCACACATCTCTTTAGATGATATAATTGTACAAAAACCGATTATGGAATATTAAGTGAATTTGCAATGTACAGAAAATATGTAGTAAAACAAGAAAACAGAGCTAATACCCAGAACAGTGTCTATATCATGAATCCAAACTATGACACCAAAAAGGTATCATACCTAAGAACCTGATAACCAATCAACCAGTATCATCCAACCAGTGACCAATCAACTGTTATTCAATTATATCCAGATAGGTTTCTGACTAGTTAAAGTTTTTCAGGTATCATACCTTTCTAGTATCATAGGAATTGCCAAAACCTATACATGTACCCATATACCTCTTCATTAGAAAGTTGGTAGTCCCGAAGGAAACATGACGCAATCTCTTGCCGCTGTGTGGTGATCTCAAGTTCTTGTTTGAGCCTCTCGGTTGTACTGATGATATCTCCCGTGGTAGCATTGCAATTGTTCAATGCTTGGGCAATCCTGGGATTTCTCAAATGTCCACTATGAAGTTATAAAATGTAGTAGCAGTTTCATAGAAACCAAAGATATAGGTTACCTAAAGACAATGGAACAAAATACATCCCTAAAAAACAACTATAGACACTATATTTGCTAAAACCATAACAAACAACTATAGACACTATCTTTAATAAGAGTTGTTTGGGTAATCTTTTGTACAAGCTGTGGTTTTTTAGGATCTTTTTTGGGTTTTCTGTGGGTGCTTCTTGCTTCTGGTGATATCTTATCACCTCCTACTTACTTCATCTTTTCTTAATGAATTTTTATCTGATTCTTCAAAAAAAAAAAAAAGAAAAAGAAAAAGAAAGTAATTTCCGAAATTGGCATTCAGCAAACAAACCTAATGCATGCCAAAGATGTTAAATAAAAAACAACCAAGAGAAAGTGTGTTTAACTTGTAAAGCTAATTGTTAATCTACAATGGTGGAAAGCCCCAGAAGCAGACATTTCAACACTACCGTGCCAGCAATCCCAAGTCAGAGGTTGAAAGAAATCACAAAGACCCACTTAGGTACAAAACCTTACACACTGGTATTTATGCTAATTTGAGAAGCAACTGTACTCATGCTCCCTTGAAGAAAAATTCTCATAATGTGAAGAAACTATACCCAATGCCATCCATTAACAGAATATTTGACAAATTTGTGTGCGTTGATAAAAGAAAACGAAAATGGGATCTTACTTGTCGCAGCAATCGGTTAACGCGTTAGCTTCTTCCTCCACTCGATCCAAGGCCTAAGAAAAAAAATCAAAATAAATAAACGTAAGAGAGAGCCAAACAGACAGACGGATAGAGGATGAGTACTAATTGGTGGTGGGAACCTGTTGGACGGCCTCGGAGGCGAGGAGGAATTCATCGTTGATGGAGAGAGATCGCTTCTCGATGGTGGATCTGAGGTTCCTCCGAGCCTGTTGTGTGTTCTCTGTGTAGAATGTCGACAGTGTGTTGAGTGAAGCCAGCAGATCCGGTGAGTCCGTTCGTGACTCCAACACCTTCTTCAGCTTCCGTGACAACCCCGGAGCCAGTGCCACCGCCATCTCTCTCTCTCTCTCTCTCTCTCTCTGTCTAGAGAGAGAATTGTCTTCTGTATTGTTAAATGAAATCACGATTGTCGCCCTCAACAAGCCACACACCCGGTGGAAAAGATCCTCGTTTCGTCTTCTGTAAATTTCCTTCCAATGTCTAGTGCCCACTGCAGAATTCGGGCTTTCAACAGAGTGTGGAAAGTACGCTCTAACTGGCCTGCAAACAGATCGGATCGGATCGGGTAAAAGGTAGATCCATATATCAATTTTATTCGGATATTGAGTAGTCCGAAAAATCCCTCCGTTTTCTCAAACTTGTAACTGATTGATGACTTTTAAGTAAAAACTAAACAACATTCAAACCAATTTAATAGAATATAGAGTTAAATATTTAAATTATTCTGTGATTTAACAAATAGACAAGAAATGGGTAACCAACTTAATGACTTATAGATCGATAGAATTAATATAGGTGCAGCTTGGGTGGACTCGGGTTGGGCTTTTATCAAAAATTCAATGGAATCTACCCAAGGCCCGAGACGGAAGCAATAAAATGATAACTCCAAACAACATGAGTTGCACCTCATATGCATTTAAGTCAAATCGAATTGGATTGTATCAAATTGGATGAATGGATTATACATTTACATCAAATTGATTTGGATTATATCAAACTAGCAGAATTGCACTGGCTTTGTGAAGTCAAATTGAAATAGAAGAAACCCTTACCCTATAGCCAAGGTCATTGGTAGTAAGAAGATTGATAGACTTCTGTCACATCGTGAAGGCATGTGCTACTCCAACAACTTGGACAGAAATTGGAGTTCTTGCAAATGGAAAAAAAAAAAAGAAAAAGAAGATTGGAAGTATATCTGGGTCGGGTTATTGGATATGAAATGACCTAATCCATATAACTCATCTTCTATACCCAATATTCGCTATAATTTTCACTCAAGGTTTTTAAAATCGACCCAGAAAAAGAACTGGTCAGGGGTTCGGTTTCTAGGTTGAACGGTCTGACCGTTTGAATCAAACGGTCGGCCCATTCTGACAAAAATAAAAAATTAAAGATAAATAAAAAAGGTCAAAACCGTTCAAATGGTTAATTGCCCGAGTCAGCGGTTTGTTGATCAAAACAATGGTTTTTGGCAAAAATCTGGTTTTGGGGAAAAATGGAACCAATGTCTTGACCTGACCGTTTCCCTGTTTTTCCAATCTGGTCCAGTTTTGAAAACCATGTTTTCACTTGAAACAATGAACAATAGCATCTTATAGTTTATAAAGAAACTTTTCTTTCTGCACCCTAGGCATGCAATGGATGTTGAATATTCCCCAGTATCTATTATCAGCATATAAAACTACCTAAACGACCCCAAAAATGGGGTAAAATCCCTAATATATGACACAACATACCTAGGAAATTTTTGTCATTGCAAAACTTCTAATGACCCAACTTGTGTCATCCTAGAACTTTTACAAGTGCTAATAGTTGCAACTGCTATCTCACAACTTCTCCAGCCTGCAACTTGATGAAACACATAATATAGTGAATAGGTGCCAAGAGCAATGAAATCTTCAATAAATTTTGCAAAACAAGCTGCCTTCTAGAAAATGAAGGAATATGCATGAAAAGAAGAAATTTGTAAACATTGCTTATAGTGTTGGTTCTTGGCATTGTCTCAAAATATATATCACTTCTGGTGTTGGATATTGGACTATACATCCAAAATAACGGATTAAGGATTTTACTATTTAGTTAAAGGGAAAATCTATGATGCGGAAAAGATATGATATGAGAAGAGTTTTGACCAATCAAAACCCACCCATAAATTTTGATAAATACCACCTGATTGGCTACCATGTTTATAATTCCAGTTGAGTGGCCAGAAGTTTTTCAGATATGATATCTTTTCCATATCATAATTGAACCCTTGGTTAAAATTCAAATCGGACGCACTGTAAAGAGGTGATTATTTATCTTCCATTGAAAATTTGCCACATTAATTGCTTTCTCTCTTGAATATTACCATCAAACAAAGCTTTGCCTTGCTCATTCCCTCTTTCCCACGTTTTCTTTGTTTAGTTTTCTTTTAATCTCACATTTCTACCATCTTCACAGCTACTTTTTACTCTCTCTCCTCCTGCATGCTTTAATTCCTTTCTATTTAAATCTCGTAGTCGAACTAAAGAGAAGAACAGTGTATATGTCAAATGAAAACAAATTTATATGGAAGAAAGGAGAATCTCCATTTTTTTTTTTTTTTTGAAAACATGATATTGATCCGAACCATTCAAAGTTTTTAACTAAATCCAATTTTTGAAAACTTCTCTATTTGAGAGAAAGGGAAATCCGAAGTACAGAAGTAGGAACAAGAGAAAGAAAGATGTCAGGGTTTGAAAGAAAGAGAAGAACGATGTTACCAATTTGTTTCTTTAAATACTTTTTGATAAATTAATATAATAGAAAAAAGACAGTTTGTAAAACAAGTTTGATCCCTTCAATATGCTAAGCAATTAAATGACGTGGCATGCAATGAATGAAGGACCGAAAGTGGCCCTTTTTCAGTGCATTCGCATCAAACTTTCACCCTTTACTATTTTTTCTACAAAAAAAAAAAGAAAAAAATGGTTGAATTTGATTACCTGTATAGAGAAACTAAAAATCTCCTTATTACTACTCTCGATTCCTTCAACTCTAACACTTGTTACACTTACTTGATACACAAAGAAGAGAAATCTTGTATCATGGATATCTTTAGTTTTACAATTGTGATGGAATCTGATTTTACTATACAGCCAAAATAAAGGATAAAAAAATAAAAAAATAAAACTTTCAAACCTAAACAACTATCCCAAGCCTAACAAAACCTATGTGAGCCTATCCCATGTTGTATTTTGTTCAACTTAGGTGGGGTTTGGGTTGAGAAAACTTCAATTTTGACCTCAATTTGGGTCTAGGCTCAAGGCCTATGCTTAGGGTTAAGTCTTGGTTGACATTTAACCCAATCTAACCTGATGAAGGAAGATTTGGCCCGACCTCATAATCACTCCACGTGTCAAAGACGAACAGCTCGACACAACAGCGTGCCCAAGGCACGAGCACCGAAGGGAGGAACTAGCAGTCCAAACTCCCTACTAGGAGCCCAAACTCTCCCTTAGGCCCCGAGCCTCACACAAGGCAGTGACTCGAACTGGCCCGCCTCATGACAGTTCGACACTCCCCTATCCGAACTCAAGACTTCACCTCGCTCACCACTCCAACACTTCACCTCCAGGACGCCGAGCTGAACAAACGTACCATACCTGACACTGAGGAGGTCCGTATCCAAGGGCGGCGCACCTGACTGACTTGGGATCTGACGCTTGACAGCCGCACTTCAACGGCCACCTGCCACCGCCACCTACCACCATCATCGCCAGTCGTAGAGATGGCTCCGACAAAGAAAGCAGTGGCGGTTCTGTCCAGCAGAGGGGATGACACCCGAACTGACAGGGGCCCAGGGGTAATCATACCTGACCAGACAAAAGCTTAGAAGTGAGTGCACGAGGTGGTTATAAAAGGCTCCTCACCCCCCGAGAACAAGGTATGTGAACTTTGCGCCATCTGGTTTTGTCCTGCCTTTGAGAGAATTCTAACTTAAGCTTCGGAGCATTCATATTGGGTTCCCCCCGGAGCTTCCTCATCTTCTCCGTTTCAGATTCCCCGTATCTCCGCCCAGAGGTAGAATCGTTGACAGCTAGGACCAGCCGGATTGCGCTCCATCAATTGGCGCCGTCTGTGGGAAACGCTTCTAGAAGCCTCCCTCTAAACTCTCATAACCTCTTTTCTCCAAAAGCTCTAACACTCATGGCTTCTTCCAACAACGCCGGACATGGCACGGAGACAAACACCACCGGGGAACAACTTCAGGTCCCCGTGGTGTGCGTCGGGTAGTTCACCATCTCCCTTCCGGTGGATGGGATCCCTAGCTTGAATGCGCCACAAACAGTGGCGCCCGTAAGCTTTCCTGCCATGAGCATTCCCCTTCCACTCCCTATCGAAACAACTGTTGTCCCCCTAGCGACCCGCCAGAACCAGTTTGACGACCTGATGCAATGCATGCGGGCAATGCAAGCCCAAATGCAACAATTCCAGCAACATCAGCTCCAGCAGCACCAAGTACTGCACAACATCTCCCAGTATCCTTATCAGCAGCAGTTCCCCCAACTGCCTCTGAACCAACCGCTACTTCCACCTCGGCACCCCACTCCAAAGCCAGTTAAGGCTTCCCCTCAGGATGGACGCCCTCGCTGAGGAGAACCCTCCCAACCCCAGAACCCCCCCAACAGCTAGGCCTCATCCCCAGGCCGAAGGTAAAGAATCACCTCCGCCTCGCAGCTCGCAGGCGGGTCGGGAACCTCACCCATGAAGT